AAAAAAAGGAGACCATGTGAGATGGGAGATTCTTCGGTAAATCTAGACTTGCTTCATTTAGAGTTATAACATTACAGTAAGGGCTGGTGGAAGGGACAATACTATGTTTCGGAGACTGATACAGACTACCCTCCGTATCGCGAAATAAGTTAACACGGACTGCAGAAATACATGAAACATGTTTGTGGATAACACTATCCCGTTACAAGAGGAAAAAAACATCTTCATTCTAAATCTGACAACGTAGAAGATTTAATAGCTGAAAATATTAATATTTGTATCAGTTTAAGCAACAGCTGGGCGCGCATGACACGCGGCGCGTGTTAATGGAAGTGTATAGTCGTCAGGAAGTGATCGTGTCTCACTAGACGGAATCCAGTACCTTCTCCCCGTCATCAGTGCATCTACTGTAACAAATAATCTAACAGACATCGCCTCATAAATTGTAACAGGATCTTGGATGTAATGGATCTTGCAACTAAGGCGATGTATCTTCTGAATCACGCAAATCACTGAATATTAAGATATTCAATTCGTTTCATATATAAGACGTGTGTAAAGTAGCGTTTTACATATTAACTTACATATTAATAGGTCATTTCTATAGGGGAAAAAACCCATTGTTTGGAAATTCGGTGAACAGGTGATATTGTAAACCCTCCACAATTGTAGGGCGCTAAATTTCAACCTGTTTCTCATCTGATAATAAACTACCGGGCAAAAGAAAGTATACACCCGTGTTTAATGGTGGCTAAATATGCCACAAACAAGGAATTGTGAATCGATGGTGATGTATTTGATACGGGTATCATAGTTGTGTTTTAGACCTTGAGTTTGCAGTGTTGCGGCGACTGTGCCAGCTTGATAACGTTTTGATAACGTTTGTTATTTATCCTCATGATGTTAATTATTGGATTGTCTGGTCCAGACTCAATTATTTACAGACCGCTGAGTGCGGCGTTAAACAACAAACACAGATTCACAACCGAGTACCTCACAGAACCCCATTGGTAGAGCTGTGAAGAAACCACATGATCTGATTTTTTCAACTTGACTTCAAGACGCCAAACTGATGACTTTATTCTCAATAAATCAAGGAATAAACGCGAAAAACGTGAACGTCCCTCGTGCGCATTAATAGAATGGCGCATCTTTATCTGGGCCCACTTGCACAAAGCGATCTTAGCGCTAAGACAATCGTAACCCTATGTTAAAGTATGGGAGTTACGATCATCTTAGCGCAAAGATCGCTTTGTGCAAGTGGGCCCTGGACATACTCGAAAAAGACATGAATATCATAACGCAGCAGCCAGAAATCAATATGATTTAACGTTAGACTCTGTATATCTAACAAAGTACAGTGTCAACGATGGCCACCCTTTATCTACACAGGTTGATTAAGCAGTCATGACAGCCCCGACCCCTTATGACAACGTTCTCCGGTCTTGGCAACCTTATCACCAACAACAAAATAACTGAAGGCCACATACTGCTCATTCAAATATAATGAAAATGCATTCGTCACCGCTCGCCCCTTTCCGTAACCTGCAAGAAGACGCTATTCGGCTTGTCCCGGAATAACACGAGTTGGTCACGAATGAGCAAAATATTCAGGACAGGAACGTCACGCGTGTTGTCTCAAATGTTTCAGCAGACAATCTAATGTTTGAAACGAATGATCATGAAAGTCAACCTTGAACTGTCACTGCAGGCACACGTGCGTTTCTTTAAGTGACAAAGTGTACGATTCCTCAGTACAATTTACATGGCTGCGATATGCTGATTAGGTGCGGGATGACCGGATGCAGTTTTCTTGATAATGAGGAAATTGGTAAATTTGGCACCTTTTTGTGACGTTCATACCGTTTCACGTATAATTGTTTCAGACTGACTGTCACTGCCAAACAACTAGTGACGGCCAACATTGGCAACAGATTTACGACTTGGCACAAACACAATTTTATTATTTATGAGTATTGTAAGCGTGATTATTTTTTATCGGTTGTTGAGTTGAACCTCAAATTCGGTTCAGAGTTCGTGACTGAGTGAGAGATGGAGCTGGTGACGTCACTTCCAAAACGAAGTTATGGTGGCGAATGGATCATTAATGAATGAAGTTACAATACGTCGGATAATCGAGGGTGGTGTCATGTATTGCTTTTATTACAGCAATGAAGAGTCTACAGTCAATACGTGTTTCAGGGCTGTACTGTTTGAGTAGGTTTACCGTGTCTATTCATAAGGGCGAGTGTTTGGTTTTACGCGCGTTGAGCAGTATTTCAGTTATATCACGGCGTGTCAGCTTGATGTGGGAGGAAAGCCCGAAGTGATGCAGGTCTCAGACGTTTACCACTTTGGTGAAACCCACATGGACGGGTATGGTGCTGGCATACCTAGACACAATTGGGACGTCTAAGAGATGCGACTATGCGCAACGAATTGTGACGCCTAAGGGACTGGTCATTTATTATATGGGAGGGGTGCAGTATATCTATAATTTTGATTGAAACAATGTCCATTTTAATTGAAATATGACTTTGGGGATGGGTTGGTGTCGCTATAGAAAAGAGTTTTGATTTAAACATATTTATTCACAAGATGTGAACGGGGTTGGGGGACAATTTCTTCCAACTTAGAATGCCCTCTCCCTGGTATTTACAAAAAAATTACAATTTCAAATTCAATATATATGCATACAACACTATAGATGAGAGAGAGAGAGAGAGAGAGAGAGAGAGAGACAGATAGAGAGAGAGAGAGAGAGGGGGAGATACATTGTTGAATGAACAGTTCTTTACACAAATCCTTTAGTTGTGCATATATAATGTTGTACTGCCTTAAATATAGCTTCATTTTCTGTAACAACGTGATCTGCATTGCCGTATAACAGTAAGTGTACATCAACAGGTATGTTATGAACTATAATTTTAAGGCTGTTTAACATAATTTCACGCTGATGACTAAACAATGTACATTCCATGAGATAATGATATGCATTTTCACATGTATTCGAACATGTACAGTTCGGGTGATCTTTTATACCAATTCTATATAAATCATAATTCAATTGACTGCACATGTATCTCAGTTTTGTGTGTAAGATATTATATTTTCTTTTTCCATAAGCGAAGTACGCAGGTGACGTGGGGTGGTGCTTTTGTAACGAATTTTTAAAACAAGAAATCGTAGAATTTCGATCTGATAACGGAATAGAGTTCCACAATCGGATAGACAATGGGTAAAAGGATTCACACGAATGTCTTAGTCTTGTGAGAGGAACACTGATGTTTTCAGAGTTTCTGAGACTCTATGAGTTTTTTGCAGCAACGGTTTTGGGTAGAATATCTGTTAGATAGGAAGGGGCCATGTTATGATTAATTTTGAAGAAAAGACAAAGTTTACGTTTCTTTCTACGCTCAACTAAGGGTTCCCATATAATGAATGCCTGGGGGCATATTTAGGTAGACCAGTTACAATGCGTGCAGCTTCTAATTGTAATTGTTCTAATTTCTCACTTTGTCCTTCGGTACAACCATCCCAAACCTCACATGCGTATTCAAAGTGTGGTCTTATGAACATTTTATATATATTGTTAATAGTATTTCTGTGAAGTAGATGTTTGAGTTTTCTCATTGAGTAAATCATCTTGGAAGTTGTTTTAATTATGGTATCTATATGACAAGACCATTTGCCACTGGCTTCAAGTATAACACCCAAGTGCTTATGACTGTTTACAGAGCTGATTTCTTTTCCGTTGAAATATAGTTTTAGACCTCCATTGTTGTCTTTGCGAGAGAATAGGACCGATTTAGTCTTTTCGGGATTGTAAGTTTACATAAACAATAAAGAGTAAAGGACCAAGCACGGATCCCTGTGGCACGCCAGCCTTCATGTATCTTGGTTTGGATATTTCCCCATTCACAAATACGCTTTGGCTACGATTACTTATGTAACTGGTAATCCATTTTAACAATTGGCCTTTTATACCATACCTCTCTAATTTGTACACAGGCCCACTGTGCCATACACGATCAAAGGCTTTTGATACATCACAGAATACAATACAATAGTTTTCTTTGTTATCTAACGCTGTACAAATTTGGTGGTAAAGTTCTATTAGTTGATGGACAGTTGAGTGACCAGCCAGAAACCCAGATTGGTACTTATACAACAATTTGTTCTCATGAAAGTAATTATATAAATGTTTGAACACTACTCTCTCAAACAATTTTCCTAAACAGCTAAATTGAGCTCCAGAAAATAGCTTCTTTCAAAGAAACATTTGTTTGCTTGTTAGGGATCAATTTACCACATAAGTTGGTGAATAACGTACATAATTGAAAATACAGTCCTAGGACCAATCTCACCCCAATCCCCATACTAAATGACAAGTCCCCAAGGCGGCAGGGTCCCTATTCGTTGTTGACCACTTTCTTCATGAAGGAAAACTGTAAAGTGTGCACATCGGTTTTTACATTTATAACTCCATAAACACATAACATATCGAAAATTAAAAATAAATACATCGAACAATAATAACTTCACAGAGTGCTTATTTAAACACGAACACACACAACACTGTAGAAAAACTATACGAAACCATTGACATCGATCTTACTTATATTGTTTAAGCCAAATTAAGTGAAGTAAACGTCAACGACCTTCGTCACTCTAGGCCTTCCTCCCATATTTACACAGACACGATCTTATTTAACTGAACTACCGTTCGAACTCATTAGAAGTAGATGCATGGAATGCTGCTTGTTTACCCATTTCAAAGAATGCTTTAGCGAGGGAATTTGCTAATGTGTTATTGGCAATGGCATTGGTACGACCATAGATGTGAATTTAATAGAAAACGTGTTTCAGATTATATTCGACGCTTAACAAATTTTAAATTTCGCGCGCTGAAAAGTGGGCCGTGCAGAGTCGTAGTCACGTGATTTTGTATACCATCAAAATAACCGGAAGCACGCTGGCATTCCCGCGTCAGACAACAGATGTGAATGAAATAGAGAGTGGCTATATCAGCGGCGGAGAGTGCGGGATGGTCACAGTCGGCACGGCCTCATTGTCACAACAGTAACAACGTGCGTTTGTTTATCGCCGAATAACGCGGGATAGCAGTGAACGATCGCCAGTGCAGTATCATCATGGGGGAAGAATACGAAGAGGTACCTGAAGTCGAGGTTGAGAATACTGCCAGCCAAGGTGTTCACCTTAAAAAACAACTGGGACTTTTCAATGGAGTGGCTATTATTGTTGGAATTATTATCGGCAGCGGAATATTCGTGTCCCCCAAGGGGGTGTTATTGGAAGCAGGGTCCCTCGGCAGTTCTCTCATCATTTGGGGGTTGTGTGGTGTCATTTGTCTAATTGGTGCCATTTGTTATGCCGAGCTTGGAACAAGCATCTTAAAGTCTGGAGCTGATTATTCTTATATCTTTGAGGCGTTCGGTGACATGCCGGCATTTCTGTATCTATGGGTTGCCATAGTTATTATCATTCCAACCGGCAACGCGATTACAGCAATGACTTTTGCGAACTATATTCTCCAGCCTGCGTTTCCAGATTGCGGGCCACCGGACACTGCGGTCAGTTTACTTGCCGCGCTCTGTATCAGTAAGTTCATTTAATTACTTTTTATATTATTTAACCCCTTATGTTTAACCCGGACATACATATGTTCAAGGAGAGTGTTAGTTGTACAAGATCGTCAATGTTTACGCGCTTTGTTGTTCGTTTCGTTGCCATTGCATCATCGTGTTTCCGTGTCCACGTGGGTTAAGCTGCACACAACGTTCGACAAGAGCGGTGCCTGTTTTCCTTTGATTTTTTCAATACCTGCGCTGTAGGGAGTTTTATGGCTCACAATTTGCGCGTGTTATAAACAAAATCTGAGCGCACACAAATGCGGTTCAACGGGTGGTTGATCTGTATCTTTACTAATCCCTTTAGAAAATGACCATGTTTGTAGCCCGCTGAATTTATTAGTGTATAGATGTGGATCTATTTAATTGTTCTCTCGGGGGCAGGAGGTGGCGTACGTGGTGACAGCTGGCTTTTTTTCTCTTTCTATAGTAATAACATTGAACACTTAATTACATAGGCTACACAATGGTAAGCTTGGTAAGAAGTTTGCTGTGTATGTTACCCTGGGTATACATCAAAACTATTATCGAGATATAGAAATGGTAGCATATGGAAGGATTCTGCTCTAATTGAGGTCTACTCACATGATTCTAGAATACCTCAAAGGTCAAATATCTCTTGATGTTTTAAACTTTTTCTAATTATTTTTTTATCTGTTTTCTTGTATCCTCAAAATAACCTGGGTTTCATTGATCAGTGATTTTACTTGAGAATATGAATATTGAAAATTGTTTTAAATTTAAAGTTTGATCATTGGTTTAAAAAACAATAATGGTGGACTTGACATGCTTATACTGTCAGTCACGGATGTGACAGCTATCACAGACAGATAAAATATACAGAAGTAGGGCTGGGTCGAGTCCAAATGTATTACCGCTATAGGTCACAAGTTGGCTACAAAATGTCCAATTAAGAATTGTTTTACAGGAGCCCTGGCTAATATTACGTAGATACATGCCACCATCTGATAATGCATACACTGAAGTTAACTGAAGCTTTATCTTTACTCAAGCATATAAAAGTCAGAAGGAATGGGTGCAGTCAGAAAGAAATGAGAACATTTAGCGACTTGGAGTGCAACCCATGCTTGCCGTAAAAGGTGACTATGCTTGTCGTAAGAAGCGACTAACGAGATCGGGTGGTCAGGCTTGCTGACTTGGTTGATGCATGTCATCGGTCCCAATTGCTTGGATTGATGCTCATGATATCAATCACTGGATTGTCTTGTCCAGACTTGATTATTTACAGACCGTCGTCATATAGCTGGAATATTGCTACGTTACACACACACAAAAAAAATAAATAGACATGCTAGTCTAATGAGACCATTTCTTTTAAATAAAATGAGTCATACGATTGAATAAAATAGATCAAAATGAAAGCTTGAAAAAGAACTCTGAATTTTGATCAAATACAATAACATTTCAGAAAAGTAATAAGCATAGATACATATTAAGAACTTGATGTTTGGATTATACCTGAACATATTTATTATGAAAAGATAAATAGTACATTGTACATTATTTCTCTCTGTAAATTAAAATGTGTCGGGTGTTTGAGTCATCTGTTAGTCACTAATCCTCAGCTGTCACCTTATGGCTTAATTCAGTGTGTAACTAGCCCAGCTGTAAATGGAATGGACTTTGGTAAGGAATAATTTAACCTACCAGCTTTTCATCTATAGCCATATATGGTACTATATCGGCTCAGATCCCAGGAAATTACAACCTCTGGAGGATGTGGTATATTGTTTGGGCTTTACACTTTGTACCAAATACTTGTTATTTTAGTTTGTCTGAATATTATATTTAATATTTGGTGGTAGAATAAACAAGATGAAAGCAATACTGAAAAGTAGAATCTATTGTTAATGGATTTCCGTGTTTAAGGCGATTTCTTGACCAGGAAATATCGTTTGGCCAGATTCAGAATGGTGCTTTCTACTTGCAGTTAATTAAAGGGGGACTGGGGAAATATTTGGGATGAGGCTTAAAAATTGCACCCCACTGTGTTTCAAAACGAATATATTTCTTAAGATATTTCTTTTCTTATAAGCAGCAAAATCTCTGCACTTGTACACAGCAGACAGAACTCAAAATTAACTTATCGTTTTTGTTAGTTTCAACAAAATCAGTAATGGTACTCTTGTGTCATTGGATTTTGTGGTTCATTGATCACTTGATTGTCTGGTTTGTTTGCAGGCTGTCTTATAGCAGGTGTTCAGCTGTGCTGCATCAGGCAATAAATACTTACTTTTTAATGCAAATTGTATGAATGGCGGGGGCTACCGGTTGGGCAGGACATGCTTACCCTTTTGCGAACACCTGGTATCATCACTGATTTTCAGTGGTCTATTCATGTAATTTCCACAGCTATTTGCCCTTTACGCCAAGAGGAATCTGTTTCAGCAGAAAATCTAGGCTGGTTATTCTCTTGCTTTGACAATTTATTTTTACAATCGGTTTTCTCCCCAGCTATTTCCAACAAACTCTTTTCTTACTGAGCACCATCAAACAATCTGTTCATTTTCACTATTATCAAGATGAACACAAACTGTTTGACGTTTGGGTATTAATGATTTCTTTGTGTTTTTCTGTTGTTGGAGTGAGTGAGTATGGTTTTATGCCGCTTTTAGCAATATTCCAGCAATTTCACGGTAGGGGACACCATAAATGGGCTTCACACATTGTACCCATGTTGGGTATCGAACCTGGGTCTTCGGCACGACGAGGGAACGCTTTAACCACTAGGCTACCCGGCCGTCCCTCTGTTGTTGGAACACCATGTCTCCCGAGACAGATATTGCATATAAAAGTAAACTCCTTCTTTTTTAAAATGACACAGTGAGTACAGTGGTTCAGTGAACAAGAGATATACTTGTTTGTTTTTAGGGTTAAAGCTTGCAGCAACTCAATCCCAATCCGTTACATAATTTTATTAATTACTAATATGATTTCAAGAAAGTGTTATTACAAGCAAAAATTTAAAATTCAAACAATCTATTCCTTTTTACACCACTGTTAATCCGATAGTCTTGCACTCCAACACGTCTAATTTGCAACGAATTGATCCGAAATCAGTCTTGTTAATCCAACAGTGATCAACGTACTCCATGGTAGAGTATACCGACAAGTGTTTTCATGCAAGACGAGTTGGCTAGTAGATGCATTTTACATCGGCTGCAAAGATAAACTCGCTAAACAATTAATAATTAAAATAAACAAAACAGGAATAATGACATCTTTAGAATACCTCTATCTCATTACAAAATGATATGATATTGAATACGTCCTATTATAGGTATCACAATTGAGCATTAATGTGACATCTTGGTATATAATTATCCCATGCCATGGAGAGGGACGGGGATATAGGAATGGGTGCTGTCCGTTACCTTTCTTCTCTCCGTCACATTTTGTTTCCAGAGCACAACTTAAAGACTTTTCAATATTTCTTGATTCACTTGTCACAGCTGTAAGTCTAGCCATAAAACTGGTGCCTTACGTTATTAAGGAATTTTTGACATGCATAATTAAGTCAGTTCTTATGAAATGATACATCAACAATAATAACTTTACGGACTGTTGATTCATTAAAAATAATGTCGACAGCGGTACGAAACTGGAGACATCATGAACAGGATTAATGCAACACAATCCCGCCACTTATTATCAGGAATTAATATTCCGTTAGTGGGTGAAGCCTTATTTTTTTTTTATGCGAAAAGAATTTCTTGGTAATCAATCAAATGCCACAGAATCACTTGCACGGAATCACAGAAAAATAAACTAATAGTATACACTAGTTATGTCCAAGATTTTTCTTCATTTTTCTTCATTTTACTTATATTCAACCAGAGAGTTGAAAAGTGGCAGAAATATGATAATTGGTTGGTGGGTATTTAACAAATAAAAAAAAAATGTAACTACAATGTCTAAAATAATCTTTATTATTTGTAATATGTGCCAGCTGAAATCAATGGATATTTATTTTCAACTCTTTGAACAAGTGACTGTTCTTGCTTGACTTGACGTTTATCCCTTTTTGTTCCCACCGTAAGTCCCTTGGAGATAGATAGTTTCCTATACGGCTGTTGACAACTAAACCCATGTGGGGGTAATTTTACCTTGTTTGACAAGCCGGCCCAATTACCAGTGTTTAACTGCAGCATCTGACCTGAGCGCTGGGGCTTTCATGGTGGGAAACTAGTGTATCCGAGTTTTCATGGGACCTCTTCGATATCTTTTGCTTCTGTGGTAATGTACTTAGATTTATGGAATCACTAGAAACTACCATCAACAAAATGTCATAGCTTTGTTTTCTGCATGAATCAAATTCAGGTAGTTATGACTGTCAATTCGCCAGGAAAATTAAATTTGCTGTCTGTTTTGTGAGCCACGCTGAACTGCACGAGTTGGCTGACCTCCAAGTTGAAATGTGGCGCCATTGGGGACTTTATTTGAGTATGCCAAGTCAGGCTTTATATGGTTTAATAGCCACTTGTAAGTGCACAACTCTACATGTTGTGTATGTCCGAAGCATTACCTTACCCTTGTCAGTGGATCAGTGTGCAACCAATTTTCATTGTCAGCTCCCTGGGGAGTATACGATCCCTGTGAGGCTCTAGAAGGTTAACAGTCACATTACTCTCTCATCCTGCGTGTGACACATTCACTATGGCTGAACAGCAATCTCATTAAAATCAGATCTTCTCACTGCCGCTAAACAAAGATCTGAGGACATCCCATTACGGGTCACGTCAGACCGACCTTTCGCAAACTCTGACCGACCAATGGAATTACTGGCAAGAAGTCGACATTAGCCAATCAGAAGGCAGCTTTCTCGTGCTTTACAGCACTAATTTCAAATTGGCGACTACGCTTCGAAACATATTTTGACAAGTTCTCGCTTAAAAATTTGAAACCTGAACAAAAGAACGTTCTAGAATGGCTAATATATGGTCTAGATTGTATAGATTCAGTCGTTAAGCCCGTAACTATCGTTCGGAATACCCCGTTTAACGTTTTCGAGGCTGCATTATTAGAAATGACATTCCGACTATCACTTTCATGATCTGGTAAGCGACGCTCTGATTGGTCGTATGAAAGGTCGTTCTGACATGACCCCTAATGGGATGTCCTCAGATCTTTGTTTAGCGGTAGTGAGAACTAAGATATGATTTTAATGAGATTGTGTGAACAGAGGGATATTTTGAACACTCTTGCCTAAGGAGACACAACATGTGCTTCAGCGTGGAGCGGGACTGAAGCTCTGGAAACTCAGGCTTAGGAGCCAAACTGCTGAACACGATCACCCCTCAAAGGATTCTCCACGACCAAAGTCGCGTAACTTCACCATGTTCACCTGATTTGCAGATAACTGCAGTTGAAACAATACAGTGATGTCATATAGCTGTATTTTAGTTCATGTTAGTCAACTGCCCAACTAGACAGAAGAGATCCTCATGGTTGTAGCCCCTGATCTGCTGTATGTCAGACTGGGCAGATGTTGGTCAACTGTCTCAATGGGCAGAAGAGATCCTCGTTGCTTGTAGTCCCTGGTCTGTTGTATGTCAGACTGGGCAGATGTTGGTCAACTGTCTCAATGGGGAGAAGAGATCCTCATGGTTGTAGCCCCTGATCTGCTGTATGTCAGACTGGGCAGATGTTGGTCAACTGCCCCCCCTGGGGAGAAGAGATCCTTGTGCTTGTAGTCCCTGGTCTGTTGTATGTCAGACTGGGCAGATGTTGGTCAACTGTCTCAATGGGGAGAAGAGATCCTCATGGTTGTAGCTCCTTGTCTGCTGTATGTCAGACTGGGCAGATGTTGGTCAACTGCCCCCCCTGGGGAGAAGAGATCCTTGTGCTTGTAGTCCCTGGTCTGTTGTATGTCAGACTGGGCAGATGTTGGTCAACTGTCTCAATGGGGAGAAGAGATCCTCATGGTTGTAGCTCCTTGTCTGCTGTATATCAGACTGGGCAGATGTTGGTCAACTGCCCCCCCTGGGGAGAAGAGATCCTTGTGCTTGTAGTCCCTGGTCTGTTGTATGTCAGACTGGGCAGATGTTGGTCAACTGTCTCAATGGGGAGAAGAGATCCTCATGGTTGTAGCTCCTTGTCTGCTGTATGTCAGACTGGGCAGATGTTGGTCAACTGTCTCAATGGGCAGAAGAGATCCTCGCTGCTTGTAGCCCCTGATCTGCTGTATGTCAGACAGGGCAGATGTTGGTCAACTGCCCCCCCTGGGGAGAAGAGATCCTTGTGCTCGTAGTCCCTGGTCTATCTTTTCCAGATTTAATTATTTTACAGGCCAGTTCAATACATTCAACCCAAATACAGGGATGAGAATTTTCCACAGATTTGCTGAAACCTACAGATTTTGTTACATCAGGGGTAGCTTTTGTAAGACCTGCCTTACAATATAAATATAAATCATATAGTTCCCACAACCCTGGCTAACTAGGAGGTACAGTTTTGACATTTCCTACATATACACACTTGCAGTCATGTAAACAACAAAGAGCACAAAAAAATATCCCCCAAGCACTGCTCACATTACAGTAATTCTGTGTTGAGAAGAAAAGTCTCCCCACATAACCTTTTCTTTATATGAAGGTTTTTGGTTTTGTTTGTTGTTTAACGGTGCACTCAGCAATATTCCAGCTTTATGATGGCGGTCTGTAAATAATCGAGTCTGAACCAGACAATCCGGTGATTGACATCATGAGCATTGATCCACAGCATTGTGGGACATGATGATATGCATCAACCAAGTCAGCGAGCCTGACCCCCCAATCCCATTAGTCGCCTCTGACGACAAGCATAGTCACTATTTATGGCAAGCATGGGTTGCTGAAGACTTATTCTAACCCACATCTTAACAGGTCTTGTATTAAGTGTATATTAAGTGTAATTTGAACCACAACATTATTTATAGTAAGCCTTTTACATTGTAATGTGATATACTTTCGAAAATAAAACCAATTGCTCATATACTGCACGATCAATTGTCCCAATCAAATATCACAGTCAATTATCACAATCAATTTTGTTTCCAGCTCTTCTGACATTTATCAACTGTACGAATGTGAAATGGGCCACCCGGACACAGGACATCTTCACAGCTACAAAGGTGGTAGCCCTCATCATCATCATCATCACTGGAGTGGCCAAGCTGGGCATGGGTAAGTCATAATTGGCGTTCCAGGTTGTCACTTGTCTGTTTGTTGTTTAACGTCACACTCAGCAATATTCTAGCAAATGCCTATATGAAGGCGGTCTGTAAATAATCGAGTGTGAGCTCATCATCACCCTATGACGGGGCGTTCCAGGTTGTCACTTGTCTGTTTGTTGTTTAACGCCACACTCAGCAATATTCCAGCTAATGCCTATATGAAGGCAGTCTGTAAATAATCGATTTTGAGCTCATCATCAACCTATGACAGGGGGCGTTCCAGGTTGTCTCTTGTCTGTTTGTTGTTTAACGCCACACTCAGCAATATTCCAGCCATATGAAGGCAGTTTGTAAATAATCGAGTGTGAGCTCATCATCACCCTATGACGGGGCGTTCCAGGTTGTCACTTGTCTGTTTGTTGTTTAACGCCACACTCAGCAATATTCCAGCTAATGCCTATATGAAGGCAGTCTGTAAATAATCGATTTTGAGCTCATCATCAACCTATGACAGGGGGCGTTCCAGGTTGTCTCTTGTCTGTTTGTTGTTTAACGCCACACTCAGCAATATTCCAGCCATATGAAGGCAGTTTGTAAATAATTGAGTGTGAGCTCATCATCACCCTATGACGGGGCGTTCCAGGTTGTCACTTGTCTGTTTGTTGTTTAACGCCACACTCAGCAATATTCCAGCTAAAGCCTATATGAAGGCGGTCTGTAAATAATCGAGTGTGAGCTCATCATCAACCTATGACAGGGGGCGTTCCAGGTTGTCACTTGTCTGTTTGTTGTTTAACGCCACACTCAGCAATATTCCAGCTATATGAAGGCGGTTTGTAAATAATCGTGTGTGTTGGGGTACACTGACACACGATCAACCGAGTTGCGAAGTCTGACCACCCGATCCATTCCAAGAGAAAAGGTTGCTGGTAACCAAGTCTTACCCAGAATTCCCGCGGGGTACTGGTATGACAATAATTGGGCGGGACTGATGGTTTTTAACTTAAAATGTACAGATCATGATGAGACCCAGTTTTACGTTGGAGGTCCAGCTTATCTTGTTTGTTGTTTAACGCTGCACTCAGCAATATTCCAGCTATATGACGAAGTCTGTAAATAATCAAATCTGGACCAGACAATCCAGTGATTGACATCATGAGCATTTATCCACGCAATTGGGATACGATGACATGCATCAACCAATTCAGCGAGCCTGACCACCCGACTATTAGTCGCCTCTTACGACAAGCATAGTCGCTTATCTACCGTACATAACATTTTGATACAGATTTCAAGGACCATGTTAATGCCTTGACTTATCTATGAGATCAGCTTATCTGTGGTCATATATGGTAGTTATTTTACACTAGTATGGGATGAATAGCCTTGCTTCAAGGCTGTTCTGAATAACAAATCCATGGGTGTATAGTAATGCTATCCTAATAATAGGCAAGTCTAGATTAGCAGACAGTACATCTCTTAAGATGCCAGTTTCTTACAGGGACAACTTGTTTTTATTGTTTATATAATCAAGAAATGATGATTTAGGCTAATAATTTAGAGACTTTTGCAAGTCTATGGAATGAACTGGAGACTAGTTGGATATGACAATTGGCGTCTACCACCTATGCTTTTCTTATGAGGTGACTCGTCTGTTGCTATTCCAGATTGGTATGGGTCCTCGGAACCTGCTTGTCGTAAAAGACGATGTTCCTGTCGAGATTCAGGCTTACAACCAACAGGTTCCCAGTACATGACGAGTAATCATTGATCATGTTTATACATGTATTGGTTTGTTTTGTCATAATCTAACGATACGATACTCAATTCTTGTCACAAAGTTGCACCACTGAATTGTAACAGCCTGACTCGGCTGTGTTTGTTGACTCTGCCCTGGAGGCATGGTTATACAGCCATTAGAGCAGTGGTTATCTCTTAGGTTGTTATTCTAGCCTTAGGGTTCATTGGTCAACTCAGTCAGAAAACAATTATTCCTGACATGTCAAACCTGAATTTATTCTCACTTTTCAATCAGATGTAACAAGCTGTGAATTTTCTTGTTGCCAGTGTAAACATTCATGTAAACGTTTTACAATTGGTTTTGGTACAGAGAAACTATCAAAGCCATTGAATATGGTTTTTATTATGTTTGGAGTAGAAGAGGAGTTAAAGGCAGTGCAGCACCTGCTACAGTGAGAGGTGTTTCTTTTATGATCATTTTGTTACGTGCACCCAGCCTTTGAAATTTTGTGCTGGTCTGCTTGCCTTCTACAGAGCTACAGATAAGCAGCGTATTTGCATAAAATACCCCCAAAAAATATTCAAAACCCAATTACTTTAAATTAACTTGCATACAGAAAGGCATGCATTAAATGAATAAAAAAACAGCTTGCGTAAATACCCAATAAAGCTTTTTCAGCATGCATACAAAGGAGCTTATTTCCGAAACACAATTACGCGCTAATTTACTTTCCGAGTCAACATGGTCAAGCCTTTATATTTCATTATATACATCTAAAACATTATTTCATTTTTTAAAAATCTTAAAATGTTTCTTATTTTGGGAAAAACCCAAAAGAGTGATGAATAGATGAGTGAGAAAATATTGGTTACCCAATGAAAAATGTAATAACCCAATTAAGGTAGATACCCTAGAGTAAAAACTCAGTTGCTCGAAAAGTTATCTGGAGCTGTGCTACTAAATTGTGCTTATAGCAAGTGATAATCCAGTAAAAAGGTAGTCCTCATGACAAGCAGCATTTGAGGGCTATAATTCTGAACCAGTTCTCAAGGCTTCAAGTTTGTAACAAGTTGTAACTGAATAAAACTGATAGAACATTTACAACAGTACGATACATGATACGTTTTTTTCTGTATCGATACAAGATGATACACTTGCTGAAATAAATTACTTACTCTTTGTTTAATGTCCCTGGCTTTTTGGTCAGTCAGATATTGCAAAATGTGTTTACACCCAGCTTTTCCTTTTGAACCTGCTCTGAAATATTTGCGATTTGATGGAAATATGCGTATCATGACCTATGTATCATGATACGTATCGTATCGTGACCTTGCTGTATCGTTTCATTCCTTAATTCTAAGGCTGGCAACCAATATTTTCTCTCTTTCTGGAGTATATAGAGTGGCACTCTGGATTGAAAGTACATGAATGGGGGCACAGTTGGCACAGGTGTCTAAGAGTTGCGTCCCTTATGAGTGCCAGGAACCAATGGTCGTGGGTTCCAATCCCAGATTTGTCCTGATTATGTTTCTTGGTCTGGTGACCATTACTATGCAGGTTAGCTTTAGGAGGGTTGTTCACGTATGAGACTTGAGTCACTTGAGGTTTTCTTCCACAATCAAGCTGTGATATAACTGAAATATTGTCTAAAGCGACGCTGAAGCAAACGCATTCACTCAATAGTTTAAAATCCCCTGATTGTATAGTATGACTCTATGTTACCTTGTGGTTAAAGCGTTAGCTCGTCACGCCGAAGACCCGGGTTCGATTCCCGACATGGGTACAACGTGTGATGCCCATTTCTGGTGTCCCCCGCCGTGATATTGCTGGAATATTGCTAAAAGCGGCGCAAAACCTCACTCACTCACTCACTCACTCACTTGTTACCTTTGGCTCTGAAATAAATAAATTTGAAAAGAACCCATTTGTCCCTTGACCCAACCTAGGTCGTATGCACACTAATTATTTATAATCCAAAACAGGAAGTGATGTAAAGCACATGTTTCACACGTATCTACACAAAGTAGCCACACGATAAGAGTTGCCCGCCCTTGGGTTGCTAATGACAGGAACTTTGTTTACCGAACTTGGTAAAAAAAATCAGCATCAATCAATCCAAATTGATGTCTCTAAAAGTTCAACAAAGAACAAGAAACATTTTGCGTATTACATATTTAATAGATTTGTAAGCGTGCGCCATTATGATCCATTATAAATTAAATACCACAATAATATAGCGTACCATGCTATTGCCTATAATCATCTTAGTATCATTAGTCTATGTTAAAGTATGGGATAATGGCCCTAGTGCTGAGGTTGCTTTGTGTAATGGCGCCGATTGCATTCGGCTGTGGTTGGACAAGCACTCTGCAAATTTGACAAATCAGTCAGACATAGGGTGGATCAATCCTTGGTAATAAGCTTGGAATTGAAGTGAATCTTTCCATTAAAAGTCTGATAACATTTTGTAATTATTTTAAAAAAAAAAGTTCTCAATAAATAAGCTGAAAGCAATTAGGATGTTAGCAGGTGTTCTGCATGTGGGTGGTAGATTGAATTTTTCCATGTATTGCATGAACTTATTATACCTTCAATTGATCAATACATACCAAATATTCACTTTTTAATTTTTTTCAACCTTTTTAAATGTTTTCTTTTTTAGTCCAGATAATTGTTTGTTGTTTAACGCCGCACTCAGCAATATTTCTGTTATATGAAAGCGGTCTGGGAATAATTGAGTCTGGACCAGACAATTCAGTGATTTACATCATGAGTAATGATCAACACACTTTGGATATGATGACATGCATCAAACAAGGCACCAAGCCTGACCACTCAGTCCGTTTAGTCTTCAGTATGACAAGCATGGATTGCTGAGGACCTATATTGGAAGGTGGAATCTGGATAATAACATGGCACAATGCAATATGGACAGACAGTATTTCCACATGGTGTGGGTCACTTGAGCTGATGCCAGGGTAACTGCCTCCTTGATTAGTCTTAGGAATTATGAATGGGAATAAATAGAATTGGAGCTTCATGTTTGAAAGACCAGTGAAGATCCAGGGTAAAATCATCTTCCCGAGGCAAGAGAGTTAACTGACTATAAAAGTCCAGTTTCCACCCTTGCCGAACTAGGCTGGTATTATGGAATTGGACTAACGAGTCTATGCTTAGTCCAATCAAAATCGCGCACCGAAATCAAAATCCGGTGCGTAAACTGTCGTGCAGATTTCGGTCGTTTGCAGGATTTGCAAAGCATGTGCACCGCCAACTCGTTGTCAGCAGATGTTTTCTATATCTTTTCATGTTTTTAATCAAGGTGCTCATGGGATTTGATGCATTTCGTGATGTAAGACCCGTTTTATCACAATATAGATCTTGATTATCGATCAGATCGTCCTGACCCGGCGCCAGCATTTTGTGTAAAGCAAACGCAAGTGATGCGAGAGGTGGAATCTGATTGGTCCATAGGAGAGGCTTAGAAGGGACATAACTGGTAATAGCCACTGGTGGCGCCACGATCGAGCCCAGTAATTCCAGCCTAGTTCGGTAAGGGTGGAAACTGGACTTTTAAAGTCAGTTAACTCTCTTGCCTCGGGAAGATGGGGTAAAATAGGTCTACAGCAACCTATGCATTGTCCCATGTTATGTTATAGGGGTTGGGGAGTTTCCCTAGGTTAGAGGGGCACAGTTTTCCTGTTTCCGTTGGAGCAGTCACCCTCATTTCTCTTGATCCAAAAGTATTCAAATCGATTTGAACCCTGTATCCAGATCTGACTTATTCTGAAACAGTTCTTTGCTTCTTCAAGATATATTCAACAGACGGTGATTTACGCTGATTGTTATATGCAGGCTGGTGGTACACACAGCCATTGTGGACACATAGTAATTGTGAAGCAGTATTAGGGCCATGTAGCTGTTGCTTGTTGTATGATAGGCTTTTGTAGTATTGAAAGCGTGATATGCCGTCCTTCGAGTACAGCTTGGGTCACACACAGTTCATCCTTCGAAATCAAGCAGACTAGTTGTGTTGTGAAAGTTAAACAGGGGACGGGATTAACAGACAAAATATCTTTCGTCCCACAGAAGTTTATTCTTGTTTTTGTTCCCTCAGAAGTATTTATGCTTTGCTAGTTTCTTTACTCCAACAACAGAAAAACTAGCCACCACATAATGCACTTGCTTCACTTGCATGTGCATGTCTCAAGGACATTGCCCAACATTAAAGTGTTGTGAATACATTATTGATCAGGTGCAGATTAAATGTTAGAGGGGTTAAGTTCATTTAAGTGCGTTAGGTGGAGCTATATGGGGATAATTTACTAGCTTTTCGGCATTTTAGAATCAGTTTGTTAGGAACCCATCATTTTCCCGAGGCAAGACTGTCCATTTGCCTATATCAAAGCCTAGCTTCCATCCCTCCCATTTCACACTTTCGCACATACCCATTCTCCAATCAGAGAATGTTTTTTCAAGATCAGTATCCGAAAACATGGTTGCTGCTATAGCCACAGACATCATCTTTTGAATTTGCACTGAAATTATTGCCCAAATTATGTGAACACAATTATTTTTTTTTAAGTGGTTAAAAGTTTTTCATTAACTTGTCAAAGTGCTTGTATATTTATGACCACAGTATCTATTAAGTCACCTCTTATAACAAGCAGAGGTTGTTGGGAACAATGATGTTACCCTGAATCCCCCACAGGGAGACCAGCATAGGTTGTTGGGAACAATGATGTTACCCTGAATCCCCATAGGGAGACGAGCATAGGTTGTTGGGAACAATGATGTTACCCTGAATCCCCCACAGGGAGACCAGCATAGGTTGTTGGGAACAATGATGTTACCCTGAATCCCCACAGGGAGACGAGCATAGGTTGTTGGGAACAATGATGTTACCCTGAATCCCCATAAGGAGACAAGCATAGGTTGTTGGGAACAATGATGTTACCCTGAATCCCCATAGGGAGAGGAGCAGAGGTTGTTGGGAACAATGATGTTACCCTGAATCCCAACAGGGAGACGAGCATAGGTTGTTGGGAACAATAATGTTATCCTGAATCCCCATAAGGAGACAAGCATAGGTTGTTGGGAACAATGATGTTACCCTGAATCCCCATAGGGAGACGAGCAGAGGTTGTTGGGAACCAATAATGTTACCCTGAATCCCCATAGGGAGACAAGCATAGGTTGTTGGGAACAATAATGTTACCCTGAATCCCCACAGGGAGACAAGCATAGGTTGTTGGGAACCAATAATGTTACCCTGAATCCCCATAGGGAGACAAGCATAGGTTGTTGGGAACAATAATGTTACCCTGAATCCCCACAGGGAGACAAGCATAGGTTGTTGGGAACAATAATGTTACCCTGAATCCCAACAGGGAGACGAGCATAGGTTGTTGGGAACAATAATGTTACCCTGAATCCCAACAGGGAGACGAGCATAGGTTGTTGGGAACAATAATGTTACCCTGAATCCCAACAGGGAGACGAGCATAGGTTGTTGGGAACAATAATGTTATCCTGAATCCCCATAAGGAGACAAGCATAGGTTGTTGGGAACAATGATGTTACCCTGAATCCCAACAGGGAGACGAGCATAGGTTGTTGGGAACAATAATGTTACCCTGAATCCCAACAGGGAGACGAGCATAGGTTGTTGGGAACAATAATGTTATCCTGAATCCCCATAAGGAGACAAGCATAGGTTGTTGGGAACAATGATGTTACCCTGAATCCCAACAGGGAGACGAGCATAGGTTGTTGGGAACAATAATGTTACCCTGAATCCCAACAGGGAGACGAGCATAGGTTGTTGGGAACAATAATGTTATCCTGAATCCCCATAAGGAGACAAGCATAGGTTGTTGGGAACAATGATGTTACCCTGAATCCCCATAGGGAGACGAGCAGAGGTTGTTGGGAACCAATAATGTTACCCTGAATCCCCATAGGGAGACAAGCATAGGTTGTTGGGAACAATGATGTTACCCTGAATCCCCACAGGGAGACGAGCATAGGTTGTTGGGAACAATGATGTTACCCTGAATCCCCACAGGGAGACGAGCATAGGTTGTTGGGAACAATGATGTTACCCTGAATCCCCACAGGGAGACAAGCATAGGTTGTTGGGAACCAATAATGTTACCCTGAATCCCCACAGGGAGACGAGCATAGGTTGTTGGGAACAAGGATGTTACCCTGAATCCCCATAGGGAGACGAGCATAGGTTGTTGGGAACAAGGATGTTACCCTGAATCCCCATAGGGAGACGAGCATAGGTTGTTGGGAACAAGGATGTTACCCTGAATCCCCATAGGGAGACGAGCATAGGTTGTTGGGAACAAGGATGTTACCCTGAATCCCCATAGGGAGACGAGCATAGGTTGTTGGGAACAAGGATGTTACCCTGAATCCCCATAGGGAGACGAGCATAGGTTGTTGGGAACAAGGATGTTACCCTGAATCCCCATAGGGAGACGAGCATAGGTTGTTGGGAACAAGGATGTTACCCTGAATCCCCATAGGGAGACGAGCATAGGTTGTTGGGAACAAGGATGTTACCCTGAATCCCCATAGGGAGACGAGCATAGGTTGTTGGGAACCAATAATGTTACCCTGAATCTCCACAGGGAGACGAGCATAGGTTGTTGGGAACAATGATGTTACCCTGAATCCCCATAGGGAGACGAGCATAGGTTGTTGGGAACAAGGATGTTACCCTGAATCCCCACAGGGAGACAAGCATAGGTTGTTGGGAACAATGATGTTACCCTGAATCCCCACAGGGAGACGAGCATAGGTTGTTGGGAACAATAATGTTACCCTGAATCCCCATAGGGAGACGAGCATAGGTTGTTGGGAACAATGATGTTACCCTGAATCCCCATAGGGAGACAAGCATAGGTTGTTGGGAACAATGATGTTACCCTGAATCCCCACAGGGAGACAAGCATAGGTTGTTGGGAACAATAATGTTATCCTGAATCCCCATAGGGAGAGGAGCAGAGGTTGTTGGGAACAATAATGTTACCCTGAATCCCCATAGGGAGACAGGCATAGGTTGTTGGGAACAATGATGTTACCCTGAATCCCCATAGGGAGACAAGCATAGGTTGTTGGGAACAATAATGTTACCCTGAATCCCCATAGGGAGAGGAGCAGAGGTTGTTGGGAACAATAATGTTACCCTGAATCCCCATAGGGAGAAGAGCAGAGGTTGTTGGGAACAATAATGTTACCCTGAATCCCCATAGGGAGACGAGCATAGGTTGTTGGGAACAATGATGTTACCCTGAATCCCCATAGGGAGACAGGCATAGGTTGTTGGGAACCAATACTGTTACTCCAAATCCCGAAAGGGAGACGAGCATAGGTTGTTGGGAACCAATACTGTTACCATGGTTACTCCCCAAAGGTCCCATCTTCATCTCCAGCATGCTGTTTGTTTCATTCCCCATTTTATCTTTTCAGGGTCAACTGAGAGTTTTCAAGAGCCATTTTCCGGCTCCACAACGGATCCCAGCCGTTTTGCCTTGGCATTCTACTCAGGGTTATTTTCCTACTCAGGATGGTGAGTAAATGTCACCAAGGGTCAACGCAGGGCCACAAACATACGCCTGATTTATGGCGGAAATTACAACAATTGACTCCTGCATTCCACACCCCATATAGGTCACATAGTCAGTTGTTGTACCTTGACTCCTGTTTGCTTGTACTAGTGTGAGAATATTATGTCAAGCCCTGTAGGAGAAAATACAGTTGAAGGGGGAGACATTTGGGGAGGGCAGGGATGGAATAATCTTTAAGGATGTTCTCAGGGAACTTTGATCCTGGCATCTGAAAGGGGGAGCAAACTTGTGAATAATCTGTCCTTATTGTCAGGCCACTTGTGGTTTTGGGTCAGATCCTATATTGGATATTTTAGTGATTTGCCTGAGCATGCTAAAGCACTCATGCACAATTTTTTATCACGTATGCAAAATTACACCATACAGTTTGGCAACCATTCTGTATACTGAAGTTGATGCTGTTCTGTATACAGCAATACAGAACTGTTGACAATTTGGTTGGTGTTGGCAAATCAACAGAGAGATCATCTTCTGGCATACGGTGCAAATTTACATTTACATTTGCACCTGCTCCAGACATGATTCAAATTTGCTCCTGGTGTAAATATACACACGAGTAAACGCGTTCACAAGAAAAGTATACTCACGTATGTATATTTTACACAGGTATGCATATATTTACACATACGTATGGAGGTGCATGTGAAGGGGGTGTTAAGTAATTTTCATGTGAATGCATAGTAAATTCGCATATACATGCATGTATAGTTACACATGCAAAATTACTTACGTGAGTAAATGTTGTGCATGGTTTTTTTGTTTGTTTGTTTGTTTAACGTCACACCTAGCAATATTCCAGCTATACGATTGTGGTTTGTAAATAATCATGAGCATGGATCCACACAATTGGGATAGGATAACATGCATTAACCAAGTCAGCAAGCCTGACCACCCGATCCCGTTAGTCGCCTCTTATGACAAGCATAGTCCCTTTTTACGGCAAGCATGGGTTGCTGAAGACCTAATCTACCCCGGATCTTCGCAGGTCTGTTGTGCATGTAAATGAGCTATAAGTTTGGCCCCGGTTGGGTCTACAGCAAATCAGAGGTCCATGCCAGTTGCCCTTTGTAGGAAAATTGGGAGAATTGTTCAAAATGGGATTTTTTTTATAAATTCTGTATTGGGACATTTTTAACGGAAATTGGGAATTTTTACTGGTATTTGCTGCAGACTTGGGGCCAAATATTGGCCTCCAACCAGATAAATACCTTCAAATGTTTACGAGGAGCATTCAATAAGTTTTGCAACTTCAATATGAAACCAAGTCGCAGAATATCTTTTGCACTTTTATTTTTCAATATTTTCTCCATTCACCTCAGTTCACTTATTCCATTTGTCCTTCAAGCTTTTAATATGACTTTTATAGAAATCCGCAGATTGGCCCTCGAACCATGCCTCAGTGGCAGCCTTTATGTCCTCGTCATCCTGGGAGCGTATTCATGATATTGGAAGTTTGATTTTTTAATGGAAGTTATAGTAATAATAACTGATGTTTGTGTTTAGCAAAGATGACTTGTATTTAACTGGTAACAGGAACAAATGAGAGTTACTTAGCTTTGTGTTGAATGTAATTTTGAAATACCTCATACTTTAAGAAAATATTTAAAAATATTTATACTCGAAAGGTTGCACGGGAATCACACACGCATGAATACAGTGTTAGCGTTGGTCGTCTCAACGTGCGTGATTCCCGTGCACCCTTTCGAGTTGAGTTGATTGGTTCAACTGTGTCATATGGCCCTGTGACGCAGGGGTAGCATTATGCAGATGGCTGTTTCAATGAATGCTCGTTCTACCCGTGACGAACAGGTCTGGTTGTTGATGAAATATAGTGATAGCTAAATAGACCGATTTTTAATTCATGCACCATTGTCTTTAAATGTAATATGTAGTTATGTATGACTGTTTAATAATCTCATACCAACTTTGACTGGAGTAGGTCCAATAGTTTTTCAGAGATTGTAGTTAACGTCTGTACCTTAAATTACCTTCCAGACTATAGACCTACCAAACAAGATGGCATTACAATTATATTTGTAATGGATAATGATGGTTACTTTTAAATAGTGAGTTTTTCCCCACGTTTTGCAATATTCCAGCAGTATGACGCAGGGTACACCAGGGGACATTGTACCCATCTGGCAGATTGATGCCAGGTGATAGAATGCTTTTACTGCCAGCCATCCCACCACCATATGTTAGAGTGAGTGATTGAAGGTGTAGTTATATAATCTGTCCGGGTAATCCAGAAATTCGGCTTCATGATGCACAGCTTTGCAGTTATCTTTCTAGGAGTTCAAACTTAGTGTCCTTGGCAGGCATGATCCATGTTCTGATGCCAAGGTCAAGGTCCCCTTGTAATCAATGCCATGTGTGAAATTAGAACATTGTTTCTGTGTAATAGGGGTTATCATAAACTCTTAACCCCCCCCCCCCCCCCCCCACGAAGTGCCAGGTTACAATTGGTCTTCAGCAACCCATGCTTGTCTCTCCCCCATGAAGACTCGGGTTAGAATTGGTCTTCAGCAACCCATGCTTGTCTCTCCCCCATGAAGACCCGGGTTAGAATTGGTCTTCAGCAACCCATGCTTGTCTCTCCCCCATGAAGACTCGGGTTAGAATTGGTCTTCAGCAACCCATGCTTGTCCCCCATGAAGACTTGGGTTAGAATTGGTCTTCAGCAACCCATGCTTGTCCCCCGTGAAGATTTGGGTTAGAATTGGTCTTCAGCAACCCATGCTTGTCTCTCCCCCATGAAGACTCGGGTTAGAATTGGTCTTCAGCAACCCATGCTTGTCCCCCATGAAGACTTGGGTTAGAATTGGTCTTCAGCAACCCATGCTTGTCCCCCGTGAAGATTTGGGTTAGAATTGGTCTTCAGCAACCCATGCTTGTCTCTCCCCCATGAAGACTCGGGTTAGAATTGGTCTTCAGCAACCCATGCTTGTCCCCCGTGAAGATTTTAGTTAGATTTGGTCTTCAGCAACCCATGCTTGTCTCTCCCCCATGAAGATTTGGGTTAGAATAGGTCTTCAGCAACCCATGCTTGTCCCCCGTGAAGATTTGAGTTAGAATTGGTCTTCAGCAACCCATGCTTGTTTCTCCCCATGAAGACCCGGGTTAGAATAGGTCTTCAGCAACCCATGCTTGTCTCTCCCCATGAAGACCCGGGTTAGAATAGGTCTTCAGCAACCCATGCTTGTCCCCCGTGAAGATTTGAGTTAGAATTGGTCTTCAGCAATCCATGCTTGTCCCCCGTGAAGATTTGGGTTAGAATTGGTCTTCAGCAACCCATGCTTGTCTCTCCCCCATGAAGACTTGGGTAAGAATTGGTCTTCAGCAACCCATGCTTGTCCCCCGTGAAGATTTGAGTTAGAATTGGTCTTCAGCAACCCATGCTTGTCCCCCATGAAGATTTGGGTTAGAATTGGTCTTCAGCAACCCATGCTTGTCTCTCCCCCATGAAGACTCGGGTTAGAATTGGTCTTCAGCAACCCATGCTTGTCTCTCCCCCATGAAGACCCGGGTTAGAATTGGTCTTCAGCAACCCATGCTTGTCTCTCCCCCATGAAGACTCGGGTTAGAATTGGTCTTCAGCAACCCATGCTTGTCCCCCGTGAAGATTTGAGTTAGAATTGGTCTTCAGCAACCCATGCTTGTCTCTCCCCCATGAAGATTTGGGTTAGAATAGGTCTTCAGCAACCCATGCTTGTCCCCCGTGAAGATTTGGGTTAGAATTGGTCTTCAGCAACCCATGCTTGTTTCTCCCCATGAAGACCCAGGTTAGAATAGGTCTTCAGCAACCCATGCTTGTCTCTCCCCATGAAGACCCGGGTTAGAATAGGTCTTCAGCAACCCATGCTTGTCTCTCCCCATGAAGACCCAGGTTAGAATAGGTCTTCAGCAACCCATGCTTGTTTCTCCCCATGAAGACCCAGGTTAGAATAGGTCTTCAGCAACCCATGCTTGTCGTAAGAGGCGACTATCCGAATCGGGTGGTCAGACTCACTGACTTGGTTGATGTACGTCAAATCGCAAATTGTGTAGATAGATGCTCATGCTATCAATCAGTGGATTGTCTGGTCAAGGTTTGATTAAATGCAGACAGACATCATATAGCTGGAATATTGCTGAGTGTGTTTTTAACAACAAACAAAACATACATCAACTCCTAAATGTATCTGTACATATAGTGATCGCTCGCTATTGCGCTCTTCGATAAAGCGCTACTTCGGTTACTATGCGCGGTAACGCATGGCTCCCAAAATTTATGTACACTTTTAATACTGAGAGTTGTTGTTCATTGTTCATTTGCACATAACGCTTCTCATTGCAAAATCAACCGTTTATCGCTGAATGGAGTTCTAATAATTTGAAAACATCCGCGGCAAGTCCCGGAAATATGATTGTTCTACTAGTTATCTGTTCACACTATACATCCTTTGATCTTAGAAGCGCATGCGTGCAATAAAAGAGAATTTTCATATTCTTAATTAGTGGGATCCAATTTGAGGCGACACTGTCAACTCACATGTAGTTGCTGTCACAACACGACGGTCATTCCTTTTGATTTGGATCAAGTAACCATATCAAACCAATTAATCTGGCTTGATAACGTTACTGTATATAAAGTGAATTTATCAGATCAAGGGCATTCCAATTTCAACATCCAAGAAGTAGCAGTGCTTTACAAATTATTTTAAATGAGCTAACTAATTGAATGAATTCAATCGATCTGACAATACAGTGTTTTGACAATTTACAACGTACAAACCATACATTTTTTTATCTTATCTGTTGAATGTTGTTGTTCGTTGTATGAATGTGTATCTTATGCTATATAAATGTATATATTTCTGTATGAATGTGTATCTAATTCTTCATAAATGAATTTGTATGAATGCGCACATGTAATAAATTCTAGTGCTGGTCAAAACTCTCG